ATCATTTCCTTTCTCTTTTTATTACCCCCCCCCCGTATCGGCTGGGACATGGAGGAAAAACGAAGAAGAAAATCGACTACATAATGATCAAAAAGAGAATGCGGTTCTACACTGTAAAACATATCCAACTGCCGGTTGCGGGGGTGTCCACTCTCCAGTGATATGCAAACTTAGAGTGAAACTAGAGAAATTGAAGTGAGTCAAGGCAACGCCCAGTTTCTTTTGCTGAATGTTTACCAAAGAGAAGGCTATCGGAACCACTCGGGGTAAAGTTTTACTGAATTAAGTTCTTGTACAGACTTAAGAGGAAAAAGTATGTGAAGATTATGAAGATATGTGGGAAAGGTGAAGGTTGACCTTCGACTTGAACAGGTTCAGATACTAGCGATCGGATAAGGCATCTGACCTACAAATTAGCGGTTCTTGGAGAGAACCTCACGAAGCTGAATTTCTACCTTGCCAACGCAATGAGGATGATTCGAATCTGTGGCAAGGCGGATCCTTGCTGCAAATGTGAGAACTCGTGGAACTGTTCAATGATACTGCTATGAACATAATACGGAAAAAAATGATTTCTCGCTGTTTCGTTATGTAAACAGGTGGTCGACCCAGCTGGGCTTTGGATGTCCAAACTGGGAACAACCAGTTTTACTGGTATAATTTTCTGTCAAAGTGAAGCATGAACTATATTGTTCAATAATTACAGTAATGTCGCACTTATTATCCAAAAGTCACACTTGGATCGAGTTATTTACGAAATGATAAACGATAAATTCGTTCAGGACAAAATATCTGAACGCACAACCTTTAAAAATTTAAAATCAAACGTCAGCGTTGCTTTTGCGCGCTCAAAAATAGCTTGGATTATCATTTTCAATAAGCATTTTCGGATACAACGGCTGAATAAATATATTTTGCTTGACCTTTTATTGGACTAAGAGCAAAAAACAAGATCAACATCTATTCGATCCACAGCTAAAGGATGTCTATAGTAAACAGACGAAAGCCTCTAGTAAAATAAGAACTAATAAGAGGTAGAAATTTATATAAACAAAGATCATTTCATTCATGATAACGGATACGGTTTTTTTTTTGTATATTATTTGAATTGTTTGCGATGATGCAAATGTTCTGTACTGCTATTTAAATCATTAAGGATTTGCATTAGTATTTTGTGAATGAATAATTCAAATGTCGAATTTTAAATTGATTGCACGTTTATCAATATATATACCAAAAATATATATATATATATATATATATATATATATATATTCCAGGCTTGATAATTTTAGAAGAAAATTTTTGGATGATAATATTTTTTACTCTACACGTTTTTTTTTCCTACAGAAACAAAAAAAATTTCCTGCTAATCTATATATTTAAATGTTCGCTGTTCCCAATGTTCGACCAAGATGTCAACGTCTGACGAGTAATCATTTCCTTCTTTAATAAACCATCTTCAGGATATATTCTTAAATATAACCATTATCAATAAAAACTCCAAAAACGATTATATATATATATATATATATGTATTCAGATATATATATATATATATATATATATATATTTAGGTTCGGAAATTCTTAAAGGTAGTAGAGTTAGAAAGACTGGCTATTAGAACCGTTTTTTGACGTCATTATGTTCCAAGAAAGTATATAAAAACCCAATGCGTAGATTATTTTTAATTATTTTTTGCCTGAGTGCCTTATGGTTGTCAAAGACAGTTTATTTAAACAATATTTATTGATTCCTGTAATTTTCCTTTTTAGGCAATAAAACTTGACCCTGAAGATCCGTTTCCACTGAAACCTATGTGAAAATTTGCCTTGCTAAGACGTTAATATTATTCTAGTTTATTGCTCTCTCAGACGTATCAAGAGGCACTTTACGTCGTTGTCTTTTTGTTCGTTTTGGTATTTTTTCTTTGGACTTTGAGAAAAAACACAGTTGACGATGGAATTTTCACCTTGTTTTTAATGTTCTTAGTTCTTCTTTTTTATTTCTCATCATAGATTTGTTCATCTCTGATATTTTACAATCTTAGCTATCCAGAATGGATTTTTCCAAACTAGTACTACAAAACTACCATATATATATATATATATATATATATATATATATATATTATATATATGAAATATATTTAGTGAACTGCAAACCTGATAAGGGCCGTGATATGGGTAGACCATAAAAGAAGGATGATATATTAAAAAAACCTCAATGCAAATTCAGAGCAAATATGTTTGAATAAAAACAGTGTGTCCTTGGGGTTGAGTAATAGGTTAAATATAAGGAACCCCTTTAGTCCAGGGATGTGGATCATAGGAAGAACCTGCATTAATGTAAAAGATCTAGAGGAATGAAAAATGAAATTCATTTCGCGATTTGATAAGAAAAACTGAATCAAATAATATATATAAGCATATATATAATTAAACTGAATCAAAATATATATATATATATATATATATATATATATATATATATATATATATATATATATATATAAATGATTATTCAAAACTAATTTTAGGTTAATGATTTAAATGTTAGACATCCATTCGCAAACATTTCAAATAATTTTAAAAACCGACGTATCCGTTATAAATGAAATGAAGTTTTATTTTTTCATATAACATTTTAAAAAACGAGGTATCTTCGAAAATAACTCAAAATGACATATACTGTGTTTTTCACCGTTTATATATATATATATATATATATATATATATATATAAATATATATATATATATATATTGCGTGTCTATGTATATATATATATATAAATATATATATATATATATATATATATATATATATATATATATATATATATATATATAACTTCTTCAAGTTAAGGAAGAATAATTATTTTTCTTAAATTTCATTACAAACTGACCTGCTTACCCCCTTCTCCTATTTGATGATATCCAAATTTATGCCCCCAAATCTTGACCAATGGAACATAGAGAAATCAAATAATGTTATATCTTCATTGCCCGAAGCAGGTGAAAATATTCAAAGAATATCTAGATGGAAAAAGGTACTCCTGTGGGATGACAGTTAAAACGATTTATACATGAAAGAAACGAATGGAAGAAAATAAAAATTGTTGAATACTAAACAATTAACAAAAGAAATAGGAATAAATTGAAATTGTTCTGAATATCTCCTGAAAATTGGAAAACGAAATTAATGAAGCCAAGCTGCAGAGACAGTTTGTTGAAATGTGAACAAAAGTGAAAATTCACAATAACTTTATACAATCGAGATCAGCATAGAAGAAATGATCTAATCTAATTAAAACGAAAAACACTTCCAGTCACATTTCGACCTGAGCTACACTAAACTAATGATGACCACGTAAATAGAACATATACCAATGTACATCCAATCATGACAAAGTCTGTCTCAAAATTTTCCAAACATAAACAATAATGAACCTTCTAATGAGGCAATTAAGAAAGCTATTAAAAACTAAAGAATAATCAAGAATCAGCTGATACGGAGACTGGAGTTTGGAAAATAGCTTACCTTCTTCACGAATTCAATAAGACGTCCCTCAATTTAACGAACGAAGTCTGGTTTCAGTACCGCCTCCAAGAATATTTATTATGCATTTATTAATAAGAACAAAATTGTCTTCAAGACATAGAGACATCTCGATTAGATCCAATATGGTAAAAATACTAACAGACATGGTCTTAACCAGAGAATTGAAACAAAAACAGAAATAAAACTCAGAGAGAGACAGTTGGCAGTTCTTGGAGACATAATGATTATTTACGGTAGAAGAAATTGACGCACACCGGACATATCGAAATTTACATGGGCCGTACAGGAGTCAGCTTCCTGACAAATGGATGTTGGCACGTGGGATGGTAGGTATTACAGAATAATAAACGTTGCTAAGAGTTAAAATTGGTAGGAGCTTGTGAAGAGCCGTGATCGCAGACATCCTCAATAGAAGAAGAAAATATAAAACTGTAAACGAGAAAAATTTACGCAATGAAAATAATTAGAAAGAAAAGAAAAAATATAATTTTGTAAAACTGATATTGTTTACTATGCCTGGGCAAAGATTTGCTTTTAATTGCGAAAGTTTTAAACTGAAGGTTACGACATTAGTATTTACTAAGTGTGTAAGGAAAAAAAATGAAATATATTATTTTTTTTTTTTTTCATTTTTACTTGTGGTTGATATCCAAAAAATACTATTTTAGTTTGCATATCTCTATTTTTATTAAATTTCTTTCGTAAGGAAAAGAAAAAAAAAAAAGAAAAGGAAAAGCATCTTTATTTTTCCTTCCTTTATTCGTTCCATCCACGTCTTTTCATGTTGAAGCCAAAGGACTTCTTTTGAAAAGATAATGGAACTCACGACAGTTTCGGTAAAACTGACATTTCACATGTCACGTTTGCTGCCCCGACTATTTGTAAATCAAGTCTGGCGTAAGGTTTTAAAATTTGCTGTTATGTTTTCCCCAAAGGGAAACGGAATGAAAAATTCGCGATCATTTCGATTCTATGCCGTGTGACGTCTATCAAATTTGAAGAGAACAAATCCAACGCAAATTTTAAATGACATTCCTTATCGACGTGATTCGTGTAGTCTATTATCTTTCGCAACTCTAAGAAGTGGAGACTAACGATAAACGAACTGCCATCTGATGACAAGTAAATCTCCGCTTCACAGTGTCGTATTATATTTGATAGGAAGGAAATGGAACAATTAACTTTTACATTTGCGTTCAAACTTATATTCAATCAGCCTGTCTATCTATCTATCTATCTATCTATCTATCTATCTATCTATCTATCTATCTATCTATCTCAGTAAGTTTATATCTATTCACATGTTCATATCTATCTATGCCAGTTTATATCTATCTCCTCCAGATCATTTCATATCTATTTCAATAGATTTTCTATCTATCTATCTATCTATCTATCTATCTATCTATCTATCTAAAAATCTAAAAATCTAACAAAAATGAAAATCTATCTATCTATCTATCTATCTATCTATCTATCTATCTATCTATCTATCTATCTATCTATCTCAGATCTGTTCAGATCTATCATCATCTATCTATCTATCTATCTATCTATCTATCTATCTATCTATCTATCTATCTCAATCTGCTCATATTTGAATATTTAAAGCTTATAGTTATCCGGGAAGCAAGTAAGAGGAAGGGAGTTCCACTGTCGGGAAGTGGGAAAGAAGAAGAATAGAAGAGTTGGTTACATTTAACTGCTTCGTCAGTAAAAGGGTGGGACCGAGATGCCAACCTAGTAGCACGCTTAAATTCATGCAGTTGGGACACTAGTGGAAATAGTTCGTGAGAGCAGTTAATAGAAACAAGAGCTCACTTGTCATATCTATCTATGCATGTTCATATCTATCTATGCCAGTTTATATCTATCTCCTCCAGATCATTTCATATCTATCTATTTCAAAAGATTTTCTATCTATCTATCTATCTATCTATCTATCTATCTATCTATCTATCTATTATTGTTACTACTACTACTACTACTACTACTACTAGTACTACTACTATAACGTTTATATTTAGGAGATATAGCTGTGTGAATATATATCGATGTTTTTTTAGACGTCTACCGGACTAACCAACCGAAATTCTTAAAAAACAAGAATGTACTTTTCCGCAGATATCGAAATTGAACCACCATTTTATTGTATAAATCACCTTCAAGTTATGGGTGTTTTATGTCATTCAGCCTCGAATAGACTTCACAATAAAGAAAATAATTCCAAACGTTTTAATGAATTTTATTTTTAATCCCACATTATTTCTAATTTAATATAAGAAAAAAAAAATACCACGTTATACATGAAATACATTTCTTTTCTTTCTATTTAAATATCTATATCAGTCCGTGAAGTTCTCTCTCTCTCTCTCTCTCTCTCTCTCTTAGTATCTTGATTAACACTTCTTATCTTATACAATGGTAACGTTTGAGCGTTTGAATACATGTGTTAAAACCGGTATATACTCATCGTTTTTTGGGAGCAGGCTATTTTTTCCGTTAGTCCACAAGTGAATTCCAAGCGCCAAAATTAGGAGTGACAATGCAACCCTGCAAACTGTCTGTTCTAGTCTTAGTAGACTGTTTACATAAGGTTGAAATCACTGCTTTCTCTATCTATCTATCTATCTATCTATCTATCTATCTATCTATCTATCTATCTATCTATCTCACTCTGTTCATATCTATCTATCGAGCTACCAACAGGTCTTTGTTAATTTTTTCCGCTTTCATTCACTTTCAGCGATGTTTATATCCTTTGTTTGTTATCGCATTAATAACGTTTCATAAAATTAGTATCAAATAATTATCTTCATTGCCAACAAACACACACACAAGCACGCAAGCACGTACGCAAGCAATCACGCACTGTGAGCACGTACACCCGAACACACACACACACACACACACACACACACACACATATATATATATATATATATATATATATATATATATATATATATATCGCTCGCTTGCTCGACTCTCCCGTCGAATTCGACGTATGACGGTCAAGCAGATCAGTTCCTAGGAAACCGACAGCCCGACAACAGCACATGAGATTTGATTATAGTGGTGAAGGTTTCGTGCAGGACCATCCACACTTTTTGAAGGGTCGAATACAGAGACCTGGTTCACTACGTGCCACAAGGTCTCCAAACGAACCCCCTCGCAGGTTTTGAATTCAGAGTTTTTCTTCTCCTAGACCAGTTGCCATCCAAGGCTATAGAACCCAGTCTGTCCTGCTATTTTACCCATAGCTGGAGGGAGAGGAAGAGGATTCATACCTTTCCCAAGGGTATTAGCACGCAAGTGAATGTAATGAATTCGACTGGAATTCGAACTCGGCTCTCCGATTCTCCATATATATATATATATATATATATATATATATATATATATATATATATATATATATATATATATATATATATATATATATATATATATATATATATAAAGGAAAATCAATAGAAACTGTCGTTTTAGCCGACGCGTTTCGTCCAGTGTGGACTTTTTCAAGGCAAAAAAAAACAAAAACGAAAGGAACTTATTGAAACAAAGTATCTATAAATAACAAACAAAATGTCAATAACTTTCGTTTTTTGCTTTGAAAAAGTTCATATAAGATGAAACGCGTCCGCTAAAACAACAGATTTCCTATTGGCTTTTTCCTTAATACATATTGTATTTTTTTACAAGTTAATTCTAAGAGACAGAAAAGACAGAGGGAGAGAACACACACATACACATATACACACAGATGGGCACATACACACAAGCCCCCCCATATATATATAGAGAGAGAGGAGTAGATCAAAATTAAAATTAGAGAGCTAAATTGATAAATCGATAGGAGGAGTTTGAGCTAGATAAATAAAAAAAAAAAACACACATATATATATATATATATATATATATATATATATATATATATAGAGAGAGAGAGAGAGAGAGAGAGAGAGAAACAGACATATCAAAATTAACAGCGTGCCATAGATAGACAGATAGATAGACAAATGGATTAAGGATGTCCAGTCATCTTAACTCTTCTCGGCAAGAAAGTGGTATCAGCGAGCTGTCTTCAAATTCCGTTGTTTTCACTTTAGTTTACTTTACTAATGCATGAATACGCCTTCCAGCTATGGGTTAAATAACAGACAAACTTTAAAATCTAATCGGTCTTTCCCAGGATGGTCATCTTTAGCCCCCATCTACTCTACTTAATCCTTGGCATTTTTCTGAATAAAGCATAGGGGAAGGATGTTCAATGATTTCATGACACATTCTGCACCATATCTGTGTTAGCATCTGGGGTGTAGTCTTGCAGTTGGACTCCATGAGTCAAAATGGACGAGTGTGTGAGTAATCTATAGAATACACGCATGTGTAATATAGAATTCAGGCATGCGTAATATATTCCACATTCAAAAAACAGAAATTTACATTTAAACACGCAGACATAGACAGGCACACACACACACACACACACACACACACACACACACACACATATATATATATATAATGAACACTCCTTCTCTATAAATACAGCAACTTTTAAATAATATATATATCCCTCCCTACACCCACAAACACAAAACCTGGATTCTATCCTCTTGGGAATTTATTTATACATAAACATATATATAAGCAAGTGTAAATGGATATAAATCCGACAGAATGAAGAAATTTTGAAAAAACAAACAAAAATCCTTAAATGTAGTTAAATGAAAGAAATGTCGACGTCTGACGTTTCGGTTTATTAAACCTTTTCAAGACAATATTCATCAAAATACAATTCAGTTCAATATGACAAATACGATGGACATAAAAAACAAGTCTTATTCCGAACAGATATGAAAATTTTTAAAATAATAGCCTTCCGTCTAACATGGTACGCTGTCGTCACATGGGCGACGCTTTATAACGTATTCCTGAAAGTTTGTGATTATTTTGAAATGAAAAAAAAAAAAGAAAAATGAAAAGAATTCTATTAGGTTCTAAAAATTCTTATGTATGTGTCGACATCAATAAAAAGGGGAAATATTAGGTCTAGTATTCACCGTGCGTGAGATGGATATTATACCTGCTTCATAAATCCTCCTGAGATTTTTATTATGAAAATATTTTAATACTTTCACGGAATCGAAATCGAAATTATGATCTGCTTTAGTTGTGTGTACAACTAAAGCATTATTAAAATTACCGAGACGAATATCTCGTTTATGTTCGAAAACACGAGATTTTAAGGACCTACCTGTTTCACCCACATATTTTAGGTCACAATTTTTATGATATATATGCAAGCATCGGATGTAATATGTTGTCTGCTGGTGCTATTTAATAAATACGGATAGTCCTAGTATAATATAGTAGTTCTAATTTTAATGCATTTATTATGAGAGATACGTTCGGTCAAATGGTTATTTGGTATGCGACCAAACGAAATATTATCAGAGGTAGCTGAAATTGTATCTTTCATTGATCTATAGTGGCCTTTAGGTGTATGATGAGTGAATTTTCAACGCTTTATTTTTATAATAATTGTCTCGGATACGAAAGATTTGAAAAGGTATCCTCAATATATGTAAATTCATCATTTAAATATTTTGATGAACAGATGCGAAGAGCCCTCAAATAGAATCCAATAACAATACCCCTCTTAGTGTTAGTATCATGGTGAGAGTAAAAATGTAAATAGTCATTTTTACATGTAGGTTTACGATATACTTTGAATTCTAATTTATTTTTTATTTTTTAATGAGTAATATGGAAAAAAAAAGGTAAGGAATTATTAGATTCAAGTTCATAGGTAAATTCAATAGTAGGTTCTATTCTATTTAATCTATCAGTAATCTCGTTTAAATCATGCTTATGTGGGTAGATAAATAAAATGTCATCGATGTATCGAAAGTAATGTATCAGATGGAATGACATCTTTAAAAGGTCCAGATTCGAAATTCTAGAAATATGCATGCTAGGAATTAAACCAAATTTTTTGTTTATAATAAATATTATTATATTGGAAGAAACAATGTGAAGTGCAAAGGATGCATAATTTGATGCATTTCGAGATAGAGATAGGTAGCTTAATTTCAATTTTCTTAAAATTGGTTTCTCTAATTGTTTAATGCATTTATCAACAGGTATATTAGTATATAAAAGATTTGATGTCTAAGCTAGCTAGTAATTTTAAATAAGTTGAGAAATATTGATATAGATAACAAATTACTATACACACACACACACACATATATATATATATATATATATATATATATATATATTGACCACTAATATTAGCTATCTATCTATCGATATATATATGTGTGTGTATATATATATATACAATATGATACATATATATATATATATATACAGTATGCAATATATATATATATATATATTATATATATATATATATATATATATATATATATATATACAGTATACTATATATATGTTTATATATATATATATATATATATATATATACATACATGCAGTGTGCGATGGGTAAATTGTCGTCGTTTCCCATATTTAATTTCGTGCACGCTTGGTGCTTTTTATTTTATTTTGTCGACTGCATAGTTTAGTAGAATCATTTGGGCACCATCTGCGAGAAACAGAGCACCATATCGCAGTTCACTCAAGATATTTGGAAATGGCATGTTGCACTTGTTGACCTATGCGCCGGAAGCTCCAAGATGAACATTTCGGAGAGTTTGCGTATGAATCTGAGGACAGTGCAGAGCATTCGGATGTGTCTAAAGAGTTGGATGAGTCTAATGGTAATTATGAAGTTATTTGGAGTCATTACTAGTTATAGTGACGTCATACTTCCATTCCTCTTCCCACGGGTCTCAGACTACATCACTGAATAGTATAGACATATTATGTCTATTTTTATAGTGATCCTTTCCGGGTTATAAAGACATTGTAATTATAATAGTTACAATAGGTTTGTCTTTCTAATTTACCTCTAAGAATGATCTTGTGGGGGCGGGAGATCGAATGTACTTGGGTAGGAAAAACCATGACGCTTTCATTGATCACTTTCATCATAACATAAAGAAACTGATTAGACAACTGGAAAGAATCATTATAAAAATACATAGACATGGCATGTCTACAATATTTAATGAAACACGTTTGAATGAAGATAAGCAAACTAAATACACGAACGCGCGCACACACAGACACACTCACACACATATATTATGTATTATTTTAGTCCGATGAAATTTTTTTGAATGACTAAACGCGTTTTATTTTTCATCATTTATCTGTCTATCGAGCATTCTAAATAGGTACATTGCATTGTTTAGAAATAATGTATTAAAGTTCCATTAGGCAAAAAGGAATTTAAGTTTGCACACAACAAAATCAAGTTGATTGAACCCATAAATTTTGACATTACGTGAAAATAACTTTGGTACATTTAAATAGAGCATTCAATTCTCCCTTTTATTAAACACTCAAGAAGAGGTAAGTTGACTGCCATAAACATGTCATTCATAAAAGTGAATTTGTAAACAGTGACTATTACTGCTGCTGATGCACAACTCTTCATTAAGACGAATCGAGTTCTCCAGTCAATAAGTCTAAATTCACCATCCGGGCGACAATGTTTTAGGAGTGTATATATATATATATATATATATATATATATATATAAATATATTATAAATTAATTGATTTAA